ATAACCGTTTATCGAATGTAAACGGTTCTGGTTCACTAGCACGAAAAACGATGTTATCAAAACAAGAAGAATCATTTCTCGTTGATATTATTAAGAAAATGCAAGAATATAACACATGTCTAATCTTAATGTAATTAAATAAGCAAGATTTTATATGCTAGAATTAGGAAAAACTGTTAAAGAAAATGATCCTGGCAAAGGCTGGTTTTATGGATTTATCGAACGGTGGTTTCTTGAATGATTTTGACTTAGTTGATCTAACAATGATTGTAATGTGTTAGAAACTGGATGACTAGTTGAGCATGTATTTGTGCTCGTTGACGGCTGCGTAATACTGTGTAATATTTCGAGACGAACGGTTGCGTTTGTGCGCTAAAGATGATAAAAGAAGACGATATTAATGGCTGTTCAATAGATAATCCTCGATCTGTTAAAGATATATTATCTGCTTGTTTTGTTTTTTTACGTTTCGTCACTTTTGTTAAAAAAAACTTCTTACTCAAGTCACGTACGGACAGAAAAACAAAAAAAATCGTTTTTAAACTTTTGCCTCCACTTTTATCGCATTTATACTACAATGACATTATTTCATACAAATAATATCGAAGGCTCACTAGGATAGCATTAGTTGTCCTTACAGAAGTTATTCATTTATGTTTCTGATTGGTATAGATGCTATAAAAGTGGAGGCAAAAGTTTAAAAACAATTTTTTTTGTTTTTCTGTCCTTACGTGACTTGAGTAAGAAGTTGTTTTTATGAATATTATTATTCAAGTTCGATATCTTTGTGATCTATATAAAGATAGGATGATGCTCGAGAGTTTGTTATATATTAGCCATTTTTTTCTCCTTATTCTCATGTGGTTATGAGAATAACGTTTTAAGTTTGACGAGTTTTTGCCAAGCATTTCAATAAGAATTACTAAATTACCCTAAGTGATTCTTGAATTGATCCACCTGGGCCAATTCAAGAATCAAGCTCTTTGATCAGTGTCTGTTGTTTCATGAGGATCTTAGTGAATTCTGATCGGATAACTTGGAGTTTGATAATAAAATATACAGTATTTCTTTCCAGGTAACCTAGACATATACACAATAAGTGAAGATGATTTTACAGCATGGAGAAATTTCGACGGTATGTTTAACTAACGAAACATTTTTTTCCACTTTTGTCGATATATCGAACATTTATCTATTTACTTGAAGTTAGTAATTGGTGATAGAACGGCAGAAGACAGACAAAATTTCTTTCAATTTCTGGTTCAGTTTGTAAACAAGGCATTTTCATTTAGTTGCACTCAACAATACATGACCTAGCTGTTGCTATAAGATATGCAAAACATTTAGATCATTTTATTCAACAAGTTAAGCGGATGTGGTCCTCGCAAAAATCTCAACCGAGAACCTAAAGCTAATTTGCGACAGCAATCTTTTTAAACAGTTCTTTCCTCGTATAATTCAACTGTAACCAGGTTGAATGAAAGCACGAATATCTGTGATACTTCCTAAAACAATACGTGAACTAGCTATTTCTTAACTAAGAAAACAATGCAGAATGATTATAACCCCGTTGGAAAGGTGAGAATATTACTGCAAAGAAAGCAACAAAGTTTTCAATCGGCTTACTTTCAAACAGTACAACGTCTGGAGTAGGATTCGTATTCACTCTCGCACTATCAAAAGGCACTTGGAATCCAACAGAAATCTTTTCCACTAACTTATCCAGATCTGATCACGATCTACAGGCAACATTGGTACACTACATGATACGACGGGAGAACTAAGACGATTCATTTGCATCACACTTAAATGTCTTCAAATACTTTACTCGCAAGATCAGTTCGATTTTAGTGCAATAGTTCTTGACTCTTTTTCTTTTCTCCAGCAAGAAAAAGGGTTTTCTGGTATTTATGGTGAGCATCATTCTATCTTTATATAGATCACAAAGATATCGAACTTGAATAATAATATTCATAAAAACAACTTCTTACTCAAGTCACGTACGGACAGAAAAACAAAAAAAAATCGTTTCTAAACTTTTGCCTCCACTTTTATAGCATCTATACCAATCAGAAACATAAATGAATAACTTCTGTAAGGACAACTAATGCTATCCTAGTGAGCCTTCGGTATTATTTGTATGAAATAATGTCATTGTGGTATAAATGCTATAAAAGTGGAGGCAAACGTTTAAAAACGATTTTTTTTGTTTTTCTGTCCGTACGTGACTTGAGTAAGAAGTTTTTATGAATATTATTATTCAAGTTCGATATCTTTGTGATCCATATAAAGATAGGATGATGCTCACCATAAATACCAAAAAAACCTTTTTCTTGCTGGAGAAAAGAAAAAGAGTCAAGAACTATTGTACTAAAATCGAATTGATCTTGTGAATAAAGTATTTCGAGACATCCAAGTGTGAGACGAATGAATCGTTTTAGTATGAATGACAGTGTTTACTTTTCAAAATTGTCTGAAACGCCCAGTGGTATTCTTTAAAAAATACGCTGTGTTAAGCTATTTAACTGAATAACACTGCGAAAAAAATGCCTTGGAAAATTACCTCTTAGCTGTTGTATTTTTTTACTACAATGTCTCGATCAGACATTGTTAATACAGCAGTTAGTTACAGTTAGAGATCTGCAGTTGATCTCATTACCCTTGCCTGAGCCCATGCCCATGGGTGAATAAATAAAGCTTTTAGTACTGGGTATGGGTACTTTCGAAGAATATCAGCACCCGCTAGAGTTTTCTCTTTCTCACTCGTTCTCAGTGGCCTAACAAAATTCGTTACTAAATATAATGCAGTAGTAACAAAATGTGATAGAACATGGTGCTATGTGCTAGCACTGTGAAAAGAAAAACAAAGAATGAAAGGACAAAAGAAGAAAACAGAAAACTTTATAACTACTATAAATTTCAAAATGCTATGAGATATGATGATTTTTCAAAGGTGAAACGAGTTGTTGATTGTCAGAACTTCAGTATATGATTAATTTTGTCTGTTGAACGTGATCATAATCAAACGAAAAAGAAAGTTTAAAATCTTGTTTTCCAGAGAACTTTTATAAAGCCTTTTCGAAAGACCATACAGTCAATAAGAAGGTTTCGTTACTGACCAGCTTTGTAAGCAATGCACGTCTACAACCATACTCATGCCCACTGGTACCCGTGAGCATGGGTTTTTAAAATTTCTTTTACGGGCATGAGTATGAGCATGGATATTGTTTCCGAAACCAGTGGGTATGGGCATAGGTAATGGATTCTAGGAAAGCATGGACGCAGATGACTAATTGCGAGGCACTTCATACGTACAAACTGGATTTGTTTAAAGTAGAGAAACAGTTTTTTATCAAAATCAGATTTGTTTTAGGAAATAGAATAGTTCGAGCTAGATACCGTAGTTGTATGTAGTGGTCCCCACACTTCTATGAAATGAAACAAATCACTCATTTCCTGGTTATTTATATCAGAGACTTGTTGTAAATAAACAGGACACCATGGTGTCTAGAAAATAAGACATTATAGTGTGCACATAAAAACCACAGACGTGTAACTTCAAGTTGCGACTCAATTTCGGTTTTATGCATCCAAGATGTCTCATATTCACGGGTGTCTCACAGTTTATGCACTAAAAATGCGCTTAATTTGCACAAAAGAATGCACTCGAGATGCATTGATTAAGCATCCGTTGTATCTTATTCAGTCACTATGGATGCATAAAATGGGAATCCAGACACATGTTGTAGCAAGGCTGGGCAAGTCCGGGTCCGAGCCAAGTCCAAGTCATGAAGCAAGCAAAACGAGTCCGATTCCTGAGTTCATTTCGACTCTAATAATTCTTTCAAACTTTTTTCGTTGTCGTTATTTAAATTTCTTTTTCTCTCCTGTGGCCGTATAACACATTTTTTAAGCATAATTTTTAAAGAGAGTAACACATGTGCATCTATATATCCTATACTAATATTGAAAAAATGCAAATTTCTCTGTTTATTTATGTTAAAGGTTGAATTGATCGGATTCAAAATACAAAAACACAAGTTCGAGTCCGAATCCTTCACATGAATCTCCAGTCCAGGTCCGAATCCACAAAAAAAATTTGCAGTCCGTACACAGACTCGTTCAGCCCTGTTTTGAAGGCACTTTGGCGTATATTTTATATGCAACTTTTTTGCTAGAAAAGAAAAAAAGACTATCTTGAATTCACTGTGTATGCATTTTTTTAAAAAATGCACTTCTCTTTTCACTGTTTCTGATCAGTCAATCTTAGGATATGATCGAGGCCGTATCTTGTACGTGTGCAAAAATAAAGAGAATGAAAATTCAGTTCAGTATCTACAAATTTTTCTGGAAACTTAGAAACTCTAATGCTCCATCTAAAGATCAAAAACTGGTAATTTAAGCATTTGTAATGTAAAATTACAAGTTTAGCTTTAAAGTCATTTTAAAAATTTGTATTATTTTGTGGTTTGTTGTTATTGACGATGATCACCATCACATATATAGAAACTAGTTCAATACCTAATATTAATGTATGTTCTCCCTTTCTCTCTCTTTATGAAGTCTCAATTTCATCTATTTTAATCGAAACTCACGTTCACACATTCTAATTTTATTTGTGCTTGTGATACAATACAAAGAAAAAAAAAGAACAAAAAGAACTAATAAGTTATAGCTTATATATATAGCTATACACGGCGAATAAAAGAATTGATTTCTTTATTTTCTCTCTCTTTCTCTCTTTATTCCCTAATCTCCAATGCAAGGTCTATCTGTTTGCAATAAAGAGAAGGATTCTGTTTGTTGATCATGGTATGTACATTTTTCTCTACATATCTGTGAATAAGACAACTTTCAACAAAACTGAAAAATTCAAATTTTTATCGACAACGAACATCCGGTGGCATATCATCTTATTCAAATAAGTGTTTTTGATATAAAATCGATTGAAAAATTGTATTCGTTGAAAAAATTTATTACCGATTTATCATTGTTCTTAAATGGTCACTGGATCATCATCGTATTTTCAAGCTCATAAACTCGAATGGCATTTGAAACCTAATCCAAGTACTAGGGCAAGCACATTTTACACTGTTCCCATCATATCATTTAATTCAACCAAGCAACCGCTATATAATGTTGAAAATCCCTATTATTTTGATATTGAAAAAGAAACACCTACTATTGAGCAACAAAAATCGAAAATAAATGATTATTTTAAATTATCATTGTTCGCTTGTTTAACATGTTTCTGGATGGTTGGAGGAATAATATGCCTAATTCAATCGTTACGTATTAAACGTTTAAAAAAAGTATGTGTTGAACAAGCATTACGAAAATCAAATCGTTTACATACAAATTTAATATTAACGTACGTTTTTGGTGGCATTACCTATTTAGTTTTAGTTATGACCGTACTGATCTCATTTTTTGTCGGTATTAAAGGTTATTTTGCAAAATCAATTTAAATATACATATTATCCTTCATATATTATTTTGTTATTTTAAAAGGTTACATGAATCTATTTGCTTCTACAACGCCATTTGAAAGTGAGTGAGTGCATGTATTAAAATTATCATCAATGAAGATAGTAAGATCCCAAGTCAAATTTGTGAGAAAATTTTCTTTTTTTTGTTGGCCAAATCTTCATGAGATAGATCTTCATGTTATGTTCCGTTATTTTCTTTCAAAAAAATATTGTCGTTATTTTAGATGCTAACGTTTCTTTTGTAATATCAATACTACAAATCGTATTGATACACTGTCGCCTTTAACTGTTGCCTTAAAACATCAAAGTGTATCGGTTTCTGTGAAATCTTAACCATAATTAACATCCGGATATGTGATACTACAGCGGTTAAAGTAGAGACCATAATGTAATTTTGACTACACTGTACTTAAGTACATTTTCTTCCATCAAATTCAAATCTACTGCACTTTTTTTCATTTCATGACTACTCTTCTTTGAAAATAAAAACTTATCTTCTGTTTTCATCAATGGTGCTCAATTGTAAAAAGTTTTAATACTGTCAGTAGACAAACATTTTCTGAAATTAAATTCCACCCCGATATAGGATCATGAGAAAATGCATCACTTCGAATATTTGAATAAAACAGAAAGATCTTGACAATGAAAGACTGAAAAATTTGCAAAAAATTCTACTAAAAAGAGCATTCAAGCTATGTTCATCATATTAACATAATTGCGAAATTTTGAAAGCTTGTTTGATTGAAATAAATTGTGAATTTGGATTGTCTCTAGTTGATTACCTTCTATGTAACAAATTTTGGGTCTAGGTACTGCTGAAAAATTCGGAGAATGCGAACGAGTCTGCAATCGGTTTCAATAAAATAAGCTTTTAAAATTTCTCAATTATTTTGATATGATAAACGTCGTTTAACAGTAAAATTCGGAAATCAGATATGCTTCTGAGGAAGTTTTTCCGGAACTTGAAGTAGACATGTATACTGAATTCTGAACATCATTGTATATGACACTATTCCGGATTTACAATGGATCTATTCGCGCAAACTAAGAATTTCGGGATGAAATGATCTTGATTAGGTAAGACTCACAATCGAAAAGAAATTTCAAAAAATATTGACATCCCAGTTTTCTGAACCCTTTACGCTGGTATGCTTGGTCCAAAAGTCCGATTTCCAGGGTATCATTCTTTTTATTAACCAGTGCACATAATAGATATTTACCATATAATTCTCTCTTCCACGATGAGAGCATTGAGATATGTGATCAAAAAAGATTTGAAGTACGCAAAGTAGTTCGTTTAACTGTCTCATTCAGATTCATTTACGAGCTTGTATTGCTATATTATTGCAAAATAAAAGATAGTGCTGGTCCAATAGATGAGACATGCTCGTTCACATTAACAGAAAAAAGTTTCAGTCGTAGGTGTCTTAGCTACTCTCTAAAAAAAGGTTTATTATGAAACTTAAAAGGGTATAGAGAATTGCAACCATTTCTAAACCCTTTAAATTTCGTAGAAGACAAGGTGCAGTACGAAACCGTTTTAAGTGCATTGAAACGATTGATCTTGACATTTGCTTATTTCGTTATGTTTTTCCTCATGATTTTTTCTCAAAAAATCAAAAATTATAGAAGTTTCAGGTATTTTTTTGGCTCAGTTTTCGCTGCCCTGTACAATGAAAACACCCCTAAGCTGTTGAAATGGTCTACTTGCTCAGAAAAAAACTGCTAGAATTTATGCACTTGAGGGTCAATATCTAACCCCCCTCCTTCAGAAATGGTGATTTTCGGTCAAAAAATTGATTTTTACATACGCATATGGAAAGATAGTCTGAAGTGTCTACTTCTAGAATCTGTATTGCTTTTGGTTACAAAACTGGTTTTTCGGGGATTTTGAGCAAGTTTTCTAAGAGCCTAGAGAAATCGGGTCTTCAAATAATAGTTTTTTCCTGGATACTCATGCAATTAAAATTTTTCTGAAAGCACAGATTTGTAGAGCAAACGTTTCTGATCAAAATAAGATCTCACACAACTCTGTATGACCTTGCATCAAAAAGTTACAGGCATTTTCCTAGAAGTCCTAAAAGCGAGTATTTCATACAGCATTTAATACAGTGTTTTCACCATATAAGAGTTACACCTAAAGTGCGTCCCAAGATTTTTAATAGCGGTTTGTCGTAGAGAGTTCATTCTTTTTTGTTTAAAAGAGGAAAAGAAGGTACATCGACTGACCGGCGTCGATTTTTGAATTAGGTCTTGGTTTTTGTCAAACTGAGGATTTTTAGAAAATCCGGAAGGCTTTTTCGGGGGTTGTTGGTTGGCTGGAAAACCAATAAAGGCTTAATTGAAAAATCGGCGCCGGTCAGTCCATGTAGTTAGGTGTCTTGTTTAAAATAAAGCAAACCCGAACTCTCCAGCTTGAAGTATATTAAAAAATCTTGGGACACACTTCAGGGTCCTTTTTGGATCTTGATCTCTGGAAAACTCCTAAACCGTTAGACTTAGAGACAAAAAAGTTTTATCATTCCCGTAATTCATTGTGCCGAACATTTATGGAAAGTTTCGTCAAGATCGGATGTACGGTGTTGGAGATAATTTCTGAGGGGAGGGAGCCCTTAAACGGTTTCGTACTGCACCATGTCTTCTACGAAACCTAAAAGAGTTTAGAAATGGTTGTACTTCTCTATACCCTTTTAAGTTTCATAATAAATCTTTTTTTTAGAGAGTACCCAATGCGCGATTGAATGTTCTCACCGTTTATATATTTTAGAACTCGCATCTCTCTTTCAGTACATTCTTTGAATATGTTCGAGTGCTTACTTACCATCAAGCACTCGAAAGTGGGATGTCTAGGAAAAATATTTGTTCTCTCTTTCTTGAATCTATCGAGGAATGAAAATTCATTTCATAGTGGAATAATTCCATTTGTCATCGCGTATCTGCCTATAATTTGTTACACAGATATGAGTTCTTCTATTCATTGTTTTATATCTTAATTTTTTAGTTATTTATACAGTGAATAAACTTTTGTGAATTGAGTACGTTTGAACATCTTGTCTAGAATAATGAACTGTATAGTTCAGTATTTTTTTACTGTATTCTTTTAACATTTTTTTCGTCGGTTTAAAACGATAAACGTTTCTAATATCTGTTATATTTGAAAATAAAAACCTTTATAATCATATAAATCAAGTTTAATGGAATTTTCCTTTATGCTTTTTGAATAGCATCGTGAATTTAAATATTCAATAAACAGATTCAACAAAATATCACCAATTTTTGATGTTCTACTAATTCAGTCATTAAGCTAATACATGTGTGATTGTACTATGAGTAGTTGGATCGATCTTCATTTCCCAAGCAAAAACGACCTCATTTTTTGGGTTATTTATTTAGATTCAGCTCCACGTACATCTAGATGCATGTGGACCTGAATCTAGATAAATAACCCAAAAAATTGGGTCGTTTTTGCTTGGGAATTGCTCAGTCATAGATTTTCTTACATCTTCTATCGAAAAAGATGTTAACTATGCCTTATCGATCACTTTTGTATTATTGATTGTAAAACGATTTTTAACGTTGTTGAATGATTCATTATTAGTAGTCAGTAAATTAATAATCAACTATATCTAAACATAATTATTTAGAAACAACAAATGTATAGATGAAGGTGAATATATGTAATTCTAATATGCACAGAGCACATCCATTCAGAATGAGAAAAGTATACAGACAATTACATTTTCAAATTCTGTATCAGAAACTTTTTTTTATAAGATAGATACTGTGTTTCGAATGAACTAAAACTAGTTAGTCATACACCTTTTGTTATAACATGTACAATTCCAACAATTGTTCTTCGTGGGAAGAAAAAGGCGCAATAAGAAACGAAATCAAAGTCTTTAGACGGCTAGCTCCATCCACATTTCATACAATATTTCTATGTTATGAGTTACATATTTCTAAGGTACTGTTTTTGAACCTCAACGAGTCATGCACTCACCCTAGGTCAGTTATTTATCTTCATGTGCCTTGGATCATCCATCGGATAGCATACTTGTTACATTGTGACCTACATCTCAGTTCCTTTGGGAAAAAGTTGGTACATGGTTACTCAGTGTATACGAGGAGCTTAAGCAATTGAGCGAAAGAACTAACAGTGAAAATTAAAGCGTTCTTAAATTAATTAATTAAAGCACCACAAGAATAATTCTTATAACATTTCTACCAGCATGCGAGAACAGTCTCTCATTTCAACTATTGAGATTGATACCGTCTTTTTCGTTCAACTTTAACTTGTTTGATAGATAATAAAAAAAATAGTACACATTCTTTTAAAATCAAAAAGACAATTTATGTTGTTTAGAACGAAATAGCAAACGTTTAAAAGCTGTTCGAAATTCACTATTAAAGATTGTATAAATCAACGGATTAACAGCTGAATTTAAATAACCCAACCATAAAATGAGTAAAAAAACAAACTCATCAGCATATTTAGTTACATCAACAAATGCCGACATAATATAGACAACGAAAAATGGAAGCCAACACAGTAGAAAAACACTTATAATTACACCGAGTGTACGACTCAAACGACGTTCACGTGTCAAAGATATTTTTTGTCGTTCATGCATTAGAGCTGCTAAACTTTTACCTTTAAATAATGTTTTTTTACTATCTTTTGAAAATCGACTTGCCAATGGTGGTTTATTATTTATTGTATCTTTTGTTATTCTTGTGGCATTATTTGAACTGTTGTTCGAACGATTTTTATTCGGTAGAGCACTAAAATGTGTTTGGCTCGATGCATGTTGTTGACACGGTACACAACCGTTTTCATCTAATATAGTTAGATCGTTTGATGAGTTACTATTGCATGCTTGTGATTCTTGTGATTCATCTGATATTGTGATGGTTGTCGCAGGATTTGAATGAACCATACGCAACTGATTTGATTTAACGGAATATTCTTGTGAATTAGTTGATTTATCAGTGGGAGTAAGCAATGACGAAGATACAGATATTTTCACATATATTTCCTTATCGTTGTTATTGATCTTAGTATGTCTAGGTTGACTACAGAATCTTTTATTCAATTGGTTTATGGCTAAAATGAAAACATAATTAGATAATACGTAAGTGGCCTTCAGATACATTTGAAGCAAAAATGAAATCTCAGTCAAGATTATAAAACAGAATGTTAAGTTTTCAATTTTTTGTTTCAGCTTTGTGGATTTATCTATACAACTTAAGTATGAAACTATCGATGTAATTAGAGACAACTTTAAGCGTGAATGTAAGTCGTGCTGAAAACATTACTTAAGTCAGAGTATAGTATAGAGAAAGTCGAACAAAGATGATCTATAACCAGATGAGGGTGATGGTTTGATTAACATATGACTTGTGAATATGAGCATATCCAATTTAAGTACTGTTTTCATGATATCATTAGATTTCTTGTTGAAACTTTGATCATTTAAATTTAAATCATTGACAAAAAAGGGATTCTCACTAATTAACGCAGAATACTGATGTATACATACCAGAGAGTTTTTTATCTATTTTCTTATGTTTCTGTTGTTGTTCAGAATTGTTTGTCAGTCTTAAACATTCATCTTTAACATGATGAACATCAATATCTGTAACATCGTCAATATCATCAGTATCATCACTAAGTTCATGACCATTTGTTGACGATCGTTTTGAGCTTGGTAACATGTTTGACGGTAGTTCACGATCGGATGTTGCATTACGATTAGATAAATTTGGTTTATGTGTTTTTGTAGCATTTGCCAGTTTAGTTGCTGCTCGAGCTCGTTCACGAAAACGTTTTCGAGTTTTAAGAAATACTTGTGCATACATAGCTGTCATAATAATAGCTGGAATGTAAAACGAGCCACATGCCGAGTATAAAACGTATACTTTATTTTTCGATAGTTCACATTGTAATTCATTAAAATTTTGTAATTCCCTTGAACCCAATATCGTAGCAATTATTGGTGGAATCGAAATAGTTGCACTTAATACCCAAACGATAATAATCATAGCTAAAACACGACGAATTGTTCGTTGACGCGCATATTGAATGGGATCACTAATTGCCCAATAACGATCAAGCTGAAATTTTTTTTATCATATATAATAGTAGAAAATATAAGATTCAATTACATTACTTACCGCAATAGCACATAAATTTAGAATGGACGATGTACATAGAAGAACGTCAGATGTAACAAAAATTTGACAAAATATTTGTCCAAATACCCAACGATTAATAATATGTGTAACAATATGAAATGGCATGACCATAATAGCCACTAACATGTCGGAAAATGCTAACGAAACGATGAAAAAATTTTGTACAGTGCGAAGTGGACGAAATGTAAATACGGACAATATAACGAGAATATTACCGCATATACATAATACAACGATACTCGATAATACAAGGGCTAAAAATAGAATACATTCATAACTAATTATTAATCACATATTTATCAATTAGTAATAAGAGCGTAGGAAAAATTATGATACTAAAGAAGAAAGTGAATTTCTTACAGAAAGTATTAAAATCTACCCATCTATCTAACTAATTAAGGATTAAATATCAAATTTTGAAAGTATAAACATATATCATAGGTGACATGAATTATAGTTACGACATTAGAACTTGATTATTTAAAAACATAGATAATTATATTTCAATGTTATCTTACCTACTGGTACAGCTTTTGCTATTGGTAAAGGTGGTTTGGCTTGTGAAGAAAAATTGTAAATATCACTCATTGTTCTTATTGATGGTTGAATAGTAAAAAGAAAGTCAATTTCACTTATGTTAACTTCACCAAAATTTAAATTATGTGAAAATAGACTTTCGAGAATTTGACTATTAATCACTGATGATGAAGAATGACTGAATTCTATTTTCACTGGCACTAAAATATAAAATATAATGATTGATTTTCATCTATATAAGAGAAAGGCCAAATGAACACGAAAACAAGTTAGAAACAATGATTTTTCATCGTATAGTTACGAAAGATATTTTTGATGAGATAGTGTAAACACTCTCTAGCCAACATTGGAAGATATTAACAAATAACATACATTTCCACTCTTATGTATACATTAGCGTGTTGATATAAAAAATATAGATGCGTGACTACTTTTCCAAAAAAAATAAAAAATAAAGTAGCTATTATCATTTAACCTTATTTTTTTAGTAAATGAATAGAATTGAAAATTATAATGGTTCATAACCGTTTCAAAAACTTATCCTTATAATTATTAGGACATGTGAATAAACACCATTAACGTTTCCAACGTTTGAATTAAAATATAAACACATTTTTTTTTCATTTTTTTTATTTTTTATTGCTGTTGATATTGGTGTGCATAGAGAGACTCAAGGCACAGTTTCTGTTCATTAATCACGAACAGTCTTGCTGATTTTGTCATGCCGGTATCTGTGTCGGAAGTTTCTCTTCAAAAACAGTTAGCATGTGTTCTAAAAACTCTTTTTTCTTCTTTCTCTCTCTCTCCCTCTCTTTCTTTTATCGTCAAAAATTTGTCCTGTATTAAATGACATCAAGGTTTGAATTTATATTTTTCTAAAAAATTTTCTTGAATTCTCAATTTGAAAATTATTCTATTTTCCAATCGACAAAAAACTAACTTTATTTCTTCATTAAAGAAAGTAGTCACGTTTACTATCTTAGACTTAATTTATCAAATCTAATGGATAGAATCATTACTTAGTCATGGTTGACTTTCAAAAAGTTTAATAAAAACGTTGATTAATTTTAATGCGAACAAGTTATTGACCTATATATCTATATATATCTATATATATATGAATAAAAGAATGAATTTTCAATGTATTAGCGATAAAAACTATATACGATAAAAAAAAAGCCATGAAAGATACATTGAGGATAAAAATAAAAAAAAAAAAACCACTTACGGAATGAATTAAGAGAAAAGTAAATAAAGGCTACTAAATATAGTACCAGTATTTCTTTTTTTTCTCCATTTTACATTCACGTTTGTAGATAGTATTTTGCTTTGTTAGAGAAACTAGACACTTTCGATATTTGAGGCTAGATTAACAAACTGTTGAGAATTTATTATTCTAACAGGATCTAGATAATTAATAGAGATCTAACAATCAATCTTACAGCTAAGAATTTTTTCTTTTTTTTTTGATCTCAATACGAAGATCAAATGGTAAACAAAATAAAATCTCTTTGTTCTCGAACTACAAGTGATTTTCTTTTTTTTAATCAATATAAATTTATATGTTTACTAACAAGGGATTTGACATACAAATCTTTACAAGATTAGAAAATTTTTTTTGTTTCTTGAAAAAATAATCTAAAGAAACAAAATTTTAAAAATTAAAAACAATCATTTGACACATTTCATATGATACACCATCTTCATATTCAGATTCATGGTGAAGATGTAAAAGATGAAAGAAGTCGACAATATATTTTTTTCTCTTAGATATTTTTACTACAACTATCTTTCTTCAAAGACATGACATTGTAGAGTTTCTGGATTTAGTTAGTCGATAAATCTTGAAATAAAAAGACGTAGGAGGATATAAAATTTTTTTGAAGAGCTTATAGTAAATATAAACTGCTTCTATTCGTATAAACCGAATTTGAGAATAAAGTAGGCAAATTTAGATTATAGATTATTATTAGCTGACGAATCAATAAGTAATTTACTGTCACTTGACGAATAACAGCTCAAGTAATATTAACACTGAATTTCGGTTAAAATATATTGGAAACTGTGCGTGAATTCTTAAACTTGACGTCTAATGATTATCTTCAAAATTTATAAAGATAATAAGCCTCCTATGTGATTGTGATTAAAAAGAAGATCTAAGAGAGACAACTTGTTAAGAAACGGTAAAATTTCTCTTCAAACACCTTAGAACATTTATTTGAAACTAACAGTATAAATTATCATGAAAATTCACTTTGAAGCACACTCAAAAATAGTTCTTCTTCTATATTGTCCTCTTGAAAGAATCAAAAGTTTTTTTTCATTTTTTTTTTCATATTGGAATTTGTTGTTATTCAACCATGTTTACATACATAAAATTCCGTTTTATTTGTTCATCTAGAAGAATGTTTCTTTTACAATATGTTCAAAAACCGTTTGATTAGAAATGAAGAGTATTGCCCATTTTTCATTTAACAACACTTAGAGAGTAAAAAAAAAATTCTTCATTTTCCTTGTTCTTACGTAGATCTCTTTCTCTGTTGTTCATTGATATAGTTTATAATAAAAATGTGTTAAAAGCCAAAGGCAATATATATTTCAAGGAATATTTCAGCATTAAAATTATTAAATACATAAGTGTACTTGAATAACATTGGAAACTTAGTTTGTCTGGGTACTCCAGATAAAATTTACTTAACATTGACTAAGAAAAACGACATTATCGAACAAAAATATAGAGCGCATTTTATTAAAGTTTTGTATCTATTTTTTTAGAAACATTTTGCAAGTCTCCATCGTCTCAATAAGATTTTTACAAACTTTTTGCATGTGTGTTCAATATCGTATCGTTGCTCTTTCGTAAATGATTAAAAATTTCTATCAACTATAATTCGATCTTTACATAGAGCTGAATGGGAAGGACGAGACGAAGAAAATATCTATAATTTAATGTCTAATAAACAATAAAAAGCATTTAAAAAAAATTTCTTTCTATCAATAGAAATTTTTTTCTTTTTTTTTTATCGCTTGACTATATAGTACTGCCGTTCAAATTGATTAAACGCGAAATGCAGTAGCATATTTGTTATGTGATTCGAACGAAAATACCTCTACTTCTAATGACAAGACATAATCATAATAAATTCACTATAACTTGCTCTCATTAAGGCGACCGAGTGAACTTCGAGGCGGCTGATTCTGTCTCACCATAAAAAATTCTTCTTTAAGTCGACTGAGACGACGGGAGACTTATTGCTTTTCAACCCGGCGTGGCGTAGCAAAATTCTTCTTTCTTTCTTTCCACACTGTTTTCTTGTTCTCAGTTATTTCTGCTCATTTGAGGACAAGATGATTCGAAAGTAGACGAGCTGTAGATGTTTAGATGTACTAAAGTTAGTTTTCGGATATTTGCCGTGGTTATCCTATAATTAGTACGACAAAATCAGTATATTTGTTAGACAGACTCTGTCTCGGAGATAATTAATCGTCACAAATATCCTTCATAGTGAATACATACTATAGTGCTTGATATGATGAAAGCCATAGTAGAATGTATGATATGATAACTAGATGCCATATCTTGCGGGTAGATTGAAATGACGATCGGGTAAAACGGTTTTTATAGAAAAGAGAATTGTATAGCTTAAATTTAGATAGCATCCTGGCATGTGACAACAGAGATCTTTTGAAGGAGGTATAAAACATGTTTTTACAATTGGCTACATCTCCTTGAATTACCCAGAATTCTTTTAAGTAGAGGTTAGGTTGTATACAATGTTGTGTTCATGCAACTGATAGCGAGTATACGACAAAAGACTGTACAATATAGTATAGGTATACACTATATTAGCTAATTCATTATCTTGCCATACATTCTGCTACAATAATGACTCAACTGATGAATTATCCCCAGGACCGTAAATTGCGAGGTGAGGGGGTGTACACCCTCCAAAATAAAAATTTGTCCTTTCCTCCTAGCGGAAATTAAAATTTTTTTCTTACACTCTTGCAAAAAAAAGTTTTCGCTGCCCGAAGCTTTAAAAATTGTTTCCACTCCCCAAACTTGACTTTCTATTACGGTCCTGATTATTCCAAGCAATACAGTGTATGTACTATCAAGTATAACACGTGATAATTAATTATCTCATAGAAAAGTTTTTGAAAAGATACTCAGTTTTGAGGCTGATTAGATGTTAATTAAGATCGAAAAAGTGACCTGAAGTGTGTCATCTACACCTCTTGCACTCCTGAATGATGTTTTTCCCAAATCTGTACGATTCGTAAGAGCTGAGAATGAGTGGCAGACTCCAATCAGAAAAGTGTATGGAAAGAAATGCCGACTGAGTGAAACATTTATTAGAAACACTTTACACGTCGTCTGAATTCTTTACATCCGCTTAGAACACTGTAGTGCTCTAATAGTAAACATTTTAATGTATTCTATTTTCAATCTATAAATGTAATCACAGAATATAGACTAATAAGTAGCGCATGATTATTCCATGAGTCACTGCATACTGTTCATTCTGAATGTATATGATGTGTCACGTGACAATTAATAATCTCATAGAAAAGTTATTGAAAATATGGTCAACTTTTCGAACTCGTTACTTAATAATTAAAAGTGTATATTGAAAAAAACCTTCGGATGTGTCATATACAGCTCTCGCACTCTCGAGCGATTTTTTCCCAAATCTGTATGATTAGTAAGAGCTGAGAACGAGCGGCTGACCCAAGCGAGAAAGGAGTTTGAAAAGAAAGACTTAAAGAAGAATTTTTTCTAGTGAAACAAAATAAGCCTCCATGACTTTCACTCAGTCGGCTTAACTAGAGACCAATTGCCCTGTGGGAAGATTGGAAAGTCGACGGAGTGAAACGATAAACAGACGAAATTAGAAGATTCAGAAACTCGTAACAGTTTGACATGGTTTCAAGAAGAATGTACATTACTATATCAGATGATTCATTATCGTGTCAAATATTCTACTATAGTATAGCTCTCATCATATCAAGCACTGTAGCATATATTCACTATGAACGACATATCACTT